CCGCCGCGCTTCCCAAGCGGCGCACTATCCAGTGCACCACCGGGCCGGCCCCACATTTGCATTTTTAACAAATATCCGCAGGTGGTTTTATCTACACAAAAGTTTCAGAAGAACAGTTATAAAATTCATACCTATGAACATGGTTTTCTTAACGAACAAGAACAGTATTTGGAAATCTTAATTCTACCTCACATGGAGATGCATGAAACTTACCAGGCTGTGTCAGTCTCTGGCTATCTGGTTACACTACATCCTACAATACTGAGAAGACTGGAACACCAAGGACCTAGCTAACTACAAGAGATTAAGTCCAGGTAAACTTATTTAAAATAAGTCTTTGAAGTACTATGAAATTAAAATATTAATGATTGTGAAATAAGCCATTACCTTCAGCCGGACATCAATACCCATATTTTTTAAAAATGTTTGTTGTTTTATCGGACCCAGAGAGGTTACTTTTCCTTGTGTCATTCTGCGCAGATAACTGAAGTCCACATCAGCTGTTAGGTCTGCTGTTCCTGGGGCAATTAAGACATCATGAAGCTTGTGTCCACAAAATCCCTTCAACATAAAGAAATGAGTTTTTGCCCTCTTATGGTTATTATCAAGATTAAAGAAATGTCACATTAGTAAATTTTCACACGGCAACTGTTAAAAAGGAAAATATGGTCTCAATCTGTGATTGACAGACTATGCAGTAGACCCTTCAAATGAGACTCAATATGAAATGGTATTGGAGTGTCTAAAAATGCTGCCCTTAACATAAAGTTATTTAACATTTTTATTAATGTTTGTCATGATGGACTACAGGAGATCTCATTAATTCTCCAGGTGAATTCAGGTTATCAGAACCTAAGTAGTGTTTTACAAAGTATATCCATCAACCATGTACATCAGAGTCACCTGAGAATGTTACTGGACCCCACCCAGACCTGGTCAGTCAGAATCCTGGAGGTGAGCTAGAGAATCAGCACTTTTAACAGTCTCCAGGTTATTCTCAGATATAGTAAAGTTAGAAATTAAGAAACACAGATCTAGAAAATGACTAATAGCATGTATTTCAATTAAAATATATTGAACAGAACTAATCATATTCAAAGAACATTAAAAGGATGTTTTTTTAGGAAGGGTAAAAGAATATACTAGGAGAAGAAGAAAATATGTTGAAAATATGACAGAAAAAATTTGAATGATTACAATAACTAGGTTAAAACTGGAAAGAAGTACCAAAAAATTTTTTTCTGAATGAAGCAGGGGCAAATAGAAAAATATAAGAACTTGAAAAAACCTTTCCGTTTGTATAACTCAGATGCTTACTAGGATCTGTGCAAACCTAGGTCCTACAACTAAGAAAGAATGTAAACAATACAGATCTTATTCAAAGGAGAGTTGGACAGTGGACTTAAGACTAGGATTAAGGGTAATTATAATATGAATTAATGTTAATTATAAAATAATGTAATTCAATAAAACTAGGTACCGTAGAAACCAAAGATAAAGATCTTCAATCAACTTCAAATCTAACAATGAAATTGTGATAAATCATGTTACTGAATTATACATACTCTGAAGGTATCTGTCTTTGTTCCATCATGACCATAATCAGCAATCAGTGCAGCACCTCCAGTTAGTGCAATGCGTTGAGAAAGTTCCTGAATAATAACACCAGCATCAGGACATACTTCAACATGATCCCTTGTTTCTTCACACTGGTAAGGGAATAGTTGAAAGAATCAAAATACATCATTTGAAAGAACTGTTTCCTTAGGGTTTTTCAAGTTTTTCTACAAAAAGAACAGTCATGATAAAAATAAAACCCTTCTCAATATGAATATGTTCTCTACGCTCAACTTTTCACCTGATGTGTTTTTTATTATAAAGACCTCCTTGGTTCTTTAATGCTATCCACTAGGTTTACAAAGACATTTTAATCTTTTACAAAAAGGCATATGCCCTCCTAGCCCCCCAGATGGCCAAATGCATTATCATTTCATTTATTGTAAATTACTTTTATATCATAATTCATATAATATATTCCACAGGGCTGAAAGCACGGGAAAGGGATTTTTGCCTGCTTAGAACAGTGCCTGGCACATTACAGACACTCAAAAAACTATGCTGAAAGAACAAATGATATAAATCCAATACAACAAAACAGATACTATTAAGTATATTTTGATTCCCTCTGTTGGGGCATAAAGTATCCCAATGATATGACCTATATCTAGAAACATCAACTTAAAAATGTACCCAAGATGTTCAACTATTAACTAAAGGTCCACAATAAGTACTTAGTAAGCTTAAAAAGTGAAATGACAATAAGCATTAATATTTATAATATTTATCAACCTAACATAAAAGAAATTTCATTAATTCTGAGATGAATGACTGAAAATTTGAAAATTCTTTTCTTCATTATGAAAACATACATTAATTTTTGCTCCCTCCTAACACCCTACTAAAAATGAAGTAATGACCTGCCCTGACATCTCTGCCTATACTGGCACAGGTATACCAGTGTAGAGTCACACAGATGTAGGGTTGAATCTCAGGTCTTCTTACCAGCAGAAAAGTTACTTAACCTTTCTAAGTCAGTCACTTCATTATATTAAATAGAATAATAAACCATTTAGCCCCTACAGCTATTATGTAAATGACTATGACTTAGCTATAAAAACCATGAAGCTGGCCTCATCAGGCATCTGCTGACACACCTCAGCTTACCGCTGACATTCTTACCACCTTAGACTGCTGTTTCAGAAGATGTCAGGTGGTATTACCATTCACCTCATTCAAGTGGAAAGGAAAATTCACTCCCTCCCTCATAAGTTAATACTAATCATGTCAACAACTAAAAAAAAAAAATTCCAATTCCCAGGACCAAGGAGTTAGTTCTTGGGACCTTCATAAATTTCTCTCTCACTCAGGTACCTAAAATTAGGTAGCCAGAATATGAAAAAACAGAAATGTTCACAAGTATTTAGTCTATTTTAATTTATACTTTGCAAAGAAAATTCATAGGTTTACGTTTAAAAGCTTTTGTGCTTTTAAAACTGATAAAGCTGAGGTAGGAAGTTCTTAGTTAAGATTGAGAATATAGAAATCTTTTTTCTGAGCTGGAAATAAGAAAAAGGTGATATAAAACCCAGACACTCCTGAGAAGTACAGGAATTTATTTGAACCTTTAAACACAACCCCAGGACAGACAGGCTTTTGTGATTAGTCCCTAAAGTCAACAGAAAGCAGGAGTAAATCTGCTACCATTTTGTCTAGAATCAAGTTTAGATCTGGATGGAAGCATGAGAAAAAAGTCACGCTCTAGCCCAAACAGTGATAATAATAGAACTTACTTAATACAGCTTTTTTGAGAATTAAATGAGAAAATACAGAGTAATACAAAGTACTCAAAAATGTTAGCTGTTATTATTACTTTACTATAGTCTGTACTACATTGAACTTTTCCTGTAAGGTAATCACCATTCAGTAGAAAAGTGAAGTAAACGAGGAGAAGGTAAAAGACTTGGCTGAATACGTGCTTACTAACTTTATCTCCTATTACATGACATTGAGGTTACACACTTATGACTTTGACCCATTCTCCTGACTCCTGATCCTCTGTACTTTGTACTGTCAATAAAAAGCACGTCGCATGTTGCTCACAACTCCCCCTGTAAAGGAACTCTATAATTGTAACACAGAAAATAAGACTTTGAAGAAACTTGAAAGAAAAAAACATATTACTACCTGTATGAAGGCTTCTGCTGGGGTAGCACAAGGTGCCAAAACAAACCTCAGTTTATCAGAAACTTGCGGATCAATGTCAACGAATACTTCTCGCCATCCGTGTGGTGTTTTCTAAACACAAAATAATGCATAAAAACAAATTTTTACAAGTTTGTTCTCAAAATTGCCTCTACCAAAAATAACTTAGCTTTCACTTCTTACC